CTCCTGAGTAGCTGGGATTACAGGCAAGCGCCACCATGCCCAGCTAATTTTTTGTAGTTTTAGTAGAGACGGGGTTTCACCATGTTGGCCAGGATGGTCTCGATCTCTTGACCTCGTGATCCACCCGCCTCGGCCTCCCAAAGTGCTGGGATTACAGGCGTGAGCCACCGCGCCCGGCCTAAAAATCTTAAATATAGTGTCTCACAGCAGTTTCACATGGGAACCCAAGGTAGAGGTGGGTCATCGGAAAGAGATTTGTGGGTGTGGTTTTTGTCTGATGGAGTGAGTTACAAACTTTTAAAAGAAACCCAGGAAGTAAAAGGATTTGCATCAGGTTGGATTGAAAAGGACAATAGAATGTAAAGATAAACCTTCATGCACTGTTAGTAGGAATGTAAAATGGTGCAGCCACCAAGGAAAACAGTCTGGCAGTGCCTCAAAGGACTTAATGTAGAGGTACCATATGACCCAGCAATTCCACCCTGAAGTATATACCCAAGAGAATGAAAACATGTCCACCTAAAAAAATTGTACACAAATGTTTATAGCAGCATTATTTGTAATAACCAAAAAGTAGAAACAATGTAAGTGGCCGTCAGCTGATGAGTGAAAATGTAAACTGATGTATTCATACAATGGAATATTATTTGACAATAAAAATAAATGGAGTGCTAATACATGCTGTAACATGGATAAGCCTTTGTATTCGTCTGTTTTTGCAGTGCTATTAAAAAAATACCTGATACTAGGTAATTTATAAAGAAAAGAAGTTTAATTGGCTCAGAGTTCTGCAGGTTGTAAAGGAAGCATAGCAGCTTCTGCTTCTGCAGAGGTTTCAGGAAGCTTCCAGTCATGGTGCAAGGTAAAAGGGGAGCAAGGCACATTTCACATGGCTGGAGCAGGAGGGAGTGGGGGGAGGTGTCACCGCTTTTAAACAACCAGATCTCACAAGAACTCACTTTCATGTGGACACAGTACCAAGAAGGAAATCTGCCCCCATGATCCAATCACCTCTCACCAGGTCCCACCTCCAACACTGCGATTATAATTTGATATGAAGTTTGGGTGGGGTCATAGATCCAAAGCATGTCAGCCTTGAAAACATGCTAAGTAAAGTAAGTCAGTCACAAAAGTCCACATGTTATATAATTTCATCTATATAAAATGCCCAGAATACAGATAAAAGTAGATTTATGGTTGCCTAGGGTTAGGGTGGATGAGAGGAATGGAAGGTGATTGTTAAAGTCTTCAGGCTTTCTTTTGGGGGTGATGAAAGTATTCTAAAATGGATTATGGTAGTAGTTACACAAGTTGGTGAATATCCTAAGGACCATTAAGTTGTATACTTTAAATGATTGAATTAATGGTATGTGAAGTTGTTATGAAAAAGGAATAAAAATGAAGAGAGGCCCTTGAAACCTTTAACTTCCATGGACAGGAAGCCGACAGGAAAATACTTGGCAAACATGGGCTGTATTTTATGGAAAAGGAAAGAAATTCAGAGAGTGAAATCAAAAGCTCAATTAGGGGAACCAAAAGGTAATCCCAGGCAGTACATGTGGGCAGGGCGCAGTGGCTCATACCTGTAATCCCAGCATTTTGGGAAGCTGAGGCAGGTCGATCACCTGATGTGAGGAATTCAAGAGCAGCCTGGCCAACATGGTGAAACCTCGTGTCTACTAAAAATACAAAAATTAGCCAGGCATGGTGGCATGTGTCTGTAATCCCAGCTACTCAGGAGGCTGAGGCAGGATAATCTCTTGAACCGAAGAGGTGGAGATTGCAGTGAGCTGAGATCGTGTCACCACACTCCAGCATGGGTGACAGAGGGAGACTCCATCTCAAAAACAAAAAACAAACAAAAATAGTGACAACATGTGCCTCATTTGATTTCAGAATTGCTGGCTGCTTTGTTCCTCTGATTTTTCCTTTCTTTTTTTTTTTTTTTTTTTTTTTTTTTTTTTTTTTTTGAATGGTACTATTGCCTGCCCTTTATTTTACCTATGTTGTATTCTAGGTACATGTGAACAGATAACTTGTCTGTACCTAACTTAGATGACAAGATCTTTGGACTTGATGTTCTAAATAGATGAAAGTTTCAAGGAAGGGGGCTTTGCAGGAAGACTGTCTCTGTTTTGTACATGGGAGGAATGTAAACAGCTCATGGCTACAGGGTATATTGTGGTGAGTTTTAAAACATATCCACAAATTTTTGGTCACATGCCATCAAGAGGCAGATTCTAATTTGTCTCCCTTGAAATATGAGCTAGTGTCTGTGACTTGGTTCTAATGAATAAAATGTGGTAGAGGTGATTCTGCATGACTTCTGAAGCAAGGTCATGAAAGTAATACAGCTTCCACTCCACTTTCTCTTTTGGGGTGCTCAATCTTCAAGCCACCATGTTGGGAGGAAGTCCAAGCCACATTGGAGAGGCTACATGTAGAGGCAGACCACCCTAAGGCCCTAGCCAAAACCAAGTTATCTACTACTAGATGTGGGTAAGTGAACTTTTAGATGATTTCTGCCTCACACTTTGAGCTGACATAGCTGTCACTAGGAGAAGCATAGGCAAGCCCTGCTCAGATTAAAATTTGTCAATAAAATAAATGTTTTAGGCCGTTAAGATATGTCATGGTTTGTTTCCCATGATAGATAACTGAAACAGGCAGTATTAATAGGATTGATTATATTTTGGAAGTAAGGGAGAAGAAAGACTCAAGAATGTTAGCCAGGTTTTCTAGGTTCAGCAGATAATGGAAAGCAGTATCAGACTGTAGTGGTTTATTTACTCACTTAAAGCAGTAAGAAATTTCCAGAGTTTAGACAATGTCAGCTGGGGTGCTAGCCATGCAATAGTTACTTAAGAGATGATGATTGTCACCGATTTTTTTTTTTTTTTTTTAAGAAAAACAAAGCCTTGTGATCAGTTTGTTTTGATAGTAACAGCTTTAGTATTCTTAGGAAATAAATATCAAAGTAAAGAAGATGAAGCATAGGTTTGGAAGAGGGAAGGCAAATAGCAGTGATTAAGAAGCTGAAAAATTACTTTATCTGTCATTCTAGCAACTGAAATTCACTATTAGCACCTCTTGACTTACTGTTATAATATTGATATTCATTATAATCCCTTAAAATATTTAATGGTAATTTTTAAAAATTCTGGCACTTGCTTTTACCCTCTTACTGGAAGAGGTCTTGTCTCTAACAGCATTCTCTCAGTGAGGCCTTCCCTGGTCATCCAATTTAAAATTGTGAACTTATCATTACTCACACTCTGTTTCTCTTTTCTGCTTAGTTTTTTTTCCCCTTGGCATCAAATCACCATCTAACATAGTACCTCTTTGATTGCTTTTCTTCCCCCACTAGAATATAATTTTCTAGAGAACTGAATTTTTTGTCTTTTTCATTTGCTCCTGCAACAGTGTTGAGTATGTAGTAGGTGCTCAGCAAATATTTGTTGAATAAATAAATAAAGTAATTTCTGAATGCCAAAGGAAGGATTGATTTCTGTTCAGAACACTTTCAGTTCAGAATGTATTTTATAATGTTCAAGTTTTTGGAAATCCACATCTAAGTGTGACACATAGATGTGTAATTCTAATGCCTCTAGGACTCATCTTATCTGGGTGCTAATGGGGTTGTGATAATAATCAAATGTTACTGGCTACAGCTCCCCTCCCTCTCCTTTTGGTCTCTGTTTTAATCTTTTATTTGGAAAATTTAAAACATTTGCAAAAATAACAAGACTAGTATAATGAAATGCTGGTATGATTTGGATTTGTGTCCACTCCAAAATCTCGTGTTCAATTATAATCCCCAGTATTGGAGGCTGGCCTGGTGAGAGGTGATTGGATCCTGAAGGTGGAGTTCTCATGAATGGATTAGCATCCCCTCAGTGCTGTTCTCCTGATAGTGAGTGAGTTATCCTTAGATCTGGTTGTTTGTGTAACACCTCCTCCCTCTTTCTCTTCCTCCAGCTCTGGTCATGTGAAATGCTGGCTCCCCCTTTGCTTTACACCATGATTGTAGGTTTCCTGTGGGCTCCCCAGAAGCTGAGCAGATGCCAGCACCATGCTTCCTGTACAGCCTGCAGAACTGTGAGCTAATTAAACACCATTTTTCTTTAGAAATTACCTAGTTTCAGGTATTTCTTTATAGCACTGAGAGAATGGACTAATACAAACTCCTATGTATCTATTACTCAGTGTTAATAATTATCAGCGTTTTGTCAATCTTCTTTAATCTGTTTCTTCCACCTGCTTTTCCCCCTAGATTATTTTAAAGAAAACTCAAGATATCATTTTATTTTACCTGAAAATTTTAGTATGCATTTCTGAATGTTAAGCACATTTAAAATAAATACTACAACCACACCATTTTCACACATGACAAAATTAGTAATTTCTCTCATCTAATAGCCCATGAACAAATTTCCCTTATTGTTTAAGATGTTTTTATTCAATTGAGGATTCAAATAAGGTCTAGACATTGCATTTGTCTGTGATTTTCCCTAAGTTTCATTTACGTTATAACACTTTTCCTCTTTTTTATTAATGCCTTTAATTTGTTGGTGAAACCTTGTGACATTGGACCAGGACCAGTCCTGTGAAATCTTCTGTGTTATAGATTTGACTGAATACTTCCCTGTAATGAACTTAACTTATTCTCTAGGCCTCTTTTTTGTAAATGGTAGTTAGATCTTGAAGCCATGATTAAATTCAGATTTAATTTTTAGGCAAGAACATTTCATGGGTGGTGCTGCTGTGTACTTTTTATTAGACTGCTTCATAAGGCTTGTTATGTGATTGTCTCAATTTTATTGATGCTAAAATTGATTAGTAGATTGTTATTAATCTGCTCACTTGATTATAAAGTTCCTTATCAACCTTTCATCTATTACTTTTAGTCTCCAATTATGATTTTTGCATAGCCCCATTTTATTAGAATTTGCAAAAATTGTGATTATTCTATTTTTTTCTGTCTCATTTATTCATTTCAATTCTCATGAATATTATTAACTATTAAGTTATATTGAAATGCAGTTTGTACTGGGAGAGCAGAAATGCTTACATTTTTTTCTTTTTCGATGTTCAGGCAGAGTTGGTGCCATAGTAAATCCTAGTGTGATTAATGTTTCTTTTTTAAAAATGCCATTACAAACTCAGATTTTAATGTGTTTTGGTGTGTTTCAGTCTACTCTAGATTATTTTTTTCTGATCCTTAGTATTTTCCATCTTAGACTAGTGGGAGTTTCTAGAAGTTCACTTCTATGTCCTCATTAATCTCTGACAACTTCAACATTGCAGGCATGAGCTGTCTTAGGCTTACCTTATACATTTTCTGCCACAAACCTGGACCAGCTACCTTCCCTCCCTATCTTTCACATAGTCCCTTCAACATGGTAGATCTCAGAATGTTCTTGTTTCTATGATACACCAATTCTGTAATTAGAGGTTCTAAAGCTTTATAATAAAGAACTCTAACCTCTAATGGTTACCCTCTTTGTTTTCTACTTCTTTTCCAAGATCATGACTGAGAGATTGTTAATAAAAGCATTGAGTGGTGGTAAAAACACTAAGATCATTACTTTGAATGGGAAGAAGATAACAAAGATGCCCTCAGCATTAGGAAAACTGCCTGGCCTGAAGACTCTAGCCCTTCAAAATAACCTAATCCCCAAAGTGTGCCCAGAGTTATGCAATTTAACCCAGGTGAGGAACGGTGTGCGTTTTGTTTTGTGATTGAAGATGGAAAACAGGAAGAGAGAAAAAAGGGGTAAGAGACAGAACAATAACATTTTGATCTATGGAGACTTAGATTCTGGAGGCTTAATGTGGAGTGTTGTTGGAAAGGCATCAGAAGGCTTTCTCCGTTAGGGAATTCCATGTGGTAGGGAGAGAGATTTCAATTTATTCATGTGCTGTTTGGCCCATGTCTGGAATCAGGGGACTAGGTCTCGCCACACTCATCTTTCTGGAGGCTGTCATCTGGAAAGGGGTTGGAAGCCTGGATCTGCTAGTCTACCTTGAGGTCTCACATCTGGAAGTAGTTTTGAGGATCCAGGAGTTGCTGTTCACCCTGGGGACTGTCCTGAAGCTTTTTGATATAGAATGAAGAGACATTTAGGATGTAGGAAGGGAGTTCCTTTTCAATTTCTTAGGGCAGGCTGAAACTTTGAAATGGAGTTTTGGTGGGGAATATGAGGAATGGACAGTTATTTCTTCTGAAATAGTCTTTAAAGGAAGGTTAATATTTTAAATTAAAAAAAATTCTTTTTTAAAGAGCAATAGTTGACATGAATGAATCCCAGATGCTTGTGTTAAACCTTTCTGCCTAACAATGTGAAACTCTAGCTGCCAAAAATCTTGAAGTTGAGAGAAGGCAAGGGATATTAACTTTGTAATTTTCTTTTTTTGTTCACTTCTGAATTGTTATCAGCACAGGAAGAACCTATAAGCAGCTAAGGTATTATAGCTCATTAATTTTGAGTTTACAATTCCAAAAAATAAATTTGTATTTTCTTACTTTCATCCTACCTCATTGCCTTTTAGGTTTAAAAAATTGAATTTGTAATCTGTAGTTGTATCTTTTTAAGAAATAGGGTAACAATTACAAATTTCCCCCTTCATTAGTAATTTCAGAAAGTACACTTATAGTTACAGGACAACAAGGATTTGGAATTTTCTAATAGGCAAAAGAATTTGGGACTTGACTAAGTCATGAACCTATTCTCTCCCTCTACTTGAATTTGTTTCCATTAAAGTAATACTAACAATTGGTTACAGAGAATTAAATATTACAAAAAGCTTATAGCAAGAAGCTATCTTCTATCCCACTTACCCTCATCCCCAATCCTGATCTCCATATATAACCACTTTTAACTCACCTTTTTTCTTGATTTGTCTATTTCAGACATTATTTTTCTTCATCTTCTAGATACGGTTATATTAATTTATCTATTGTATATTGACCCACATCTGGAATCAGGGGATTAGGCCTACAGCCATCTTTTACAGATAATATTATTACACCTTTATTTCTTCCTTCATCAACTGTAGTCTCTTTTGACTCCCCACTTCATCAGATGACAGTATCACTCTCTGTAATCTGCCTTTAGCTGTCCTTTCCTCTCCCGCTTCACAGACTCTGAAGTTTTTACTTTTTTAAGACTTACAGCTTTTATATCCATTTCAGTTATAACCATAATTAAATTTTTGTTTTGTGTCTTGGGTAACTCTAAAGTTCTAAAAATGTTTATTGCTACTAAATATTCACATGGAGTCAATCAATCTATGATTATATTTTCTTTCTTATATGCAATTTGTGTTCCCTTGGAGTTTCTAATCACCTTTCCTTTGTTCTTGTGCCTTAGCTTTATGGCGACATCATTTTATTTCAAACTTGACCATGTTATTTTTTCTGTCAAATGTACTTTTCCTTGAGAGACTTCCCTCTAACACCCTTCATCCTTTTGCCCCGATCTAAGCTGATTGCTATCTAGGTTTGCTGGATACTGTCAGCCAAAGACATTCTCTTGGCTGCTCTCTTAAGTTGGACCCACTGTTTCCTTTATCCCATATTTTCCTTTCTTGGCTTGCTCTCTTAGTTTTCAGGAGTCTCCAGAATTCATCCTACTCTGGGTATGTGGTAAATTGTTCGATCCCTTGCATATCTGAAAATGTCTGTGTTCTTCTCTCACACTTGGTGAATAGTTGTTTAGTAAAAAGTTGCAGGTTCCAAAATATATTTCCATAGGAAAAAGCCCCACAGGTCTGATTATCATTGTTGTTTTCTTCTTGTGGCTCCCTTCATTACTTCCCTTCTCATTCTTCCATTTAAGGGTAACCTACATGTTGACTTCTGTTTGTTCACTCTCAGTTCCTTCAACAGGGAGCTGGCTTAGCCCAGTGCTTACTTTTAAAGAAGATATTACACTATTAAGAATTCAACTGATTTGAAACTAGGCTGCTTAGAGTTTAGTCTATCTTTAAAGTACTTTACAAGTCAGATTCAGGCCAATGGCATTATGTTTAGCTGTTCATGAGCTAATAATTTTTCCTATACAGAATCTTGGAGAAATTGTGGAATTTGGGGGAAAAAAACACCTATTTTTCCTATGTAATGGGAGTTCTAGGAGCAAGCTAGAAACCCTCAAAGAATGGTTATAGATTATCACACAGTTTAGATGTATAGCTCCATCCCTCTCACTGTTGGTAATAAAGTTGGCCTGGTACGGTGGCTCACACCTGTAATCCCAGCAGCATGGGAGGCCAAGGTGGGCAGATTGATTGGGCTCAGTAGTTTGAAACCAGCCTGGGCAACATAGTGAGACCTCATCTCTACAAAAATAAAAATTAAAATTAACCAGGCATGGTGGCACATGCCTGTGGTCCCAGAGGATTGTCTGAGCCCGAAGTGTAGCTGAGATCACGCCACTGTACTCCAGCCTGGTCTGCAGAGCAAATCTGTCTCGAATAAATAAATAAAGGAAAGGCAGATGAAGGTTTCAAAGGAAAAAACAGTTTAGGGAATTGAAAAGAGCCCTAGATGAGAGTTTAAAAGTGCTGGCACAGCTTAACTGGTTCAACAGTTACCCGCTACATAAAGGTACTTAGTTTCTTTGGACCTCAATTTCTGCCTTCATTTATTTAATTCACAAATAAATATTGACGACCATCTGTGTCTCAGGCACTCAGAACTGGTGATTCAGCATTGAGTAAAACAGGTGGAAATCTCTGCCCTCACAGAGTTTATGTTCTAGTCAGGAGTGATATAAGAAACAAATAAGCAAAATAGGACGTGAAGCAGTGATTAGTGTTACGGGGAAAAACAAAGCAGGGAGAAGGGGCAGGGCACGTTGTGACATCCAGCTGGTATGACTGATGCCATAGAGTGTCCTGTGGGCTTTATAACTTGATGTGTGTGTCAAAATTCAGTGATCATAATTCTAACAGTTTACTCTACACTTCCCATGTCTTTTTAAAGTTAATTTGAACTCTCTTATGTTGCTATATGTCATACCCTTTATCAATAATGTTTAAAGCTATCCATCTACATATGAGTATTGTTGCATTTTGTTTTACTTCTACTGTGTTTATCTTTTGAAGTAACCTTTTATTATCATACAAAGTCCAGTTTGCCCCATATACTGATTTTTTGGTAATATTTTCCACACAATGCAAAGTATTAAAATAGTCTTGATTTTTTCTTAAGTTCCTAAAACAAAAATACTACTTATAAATTTCTTCACTCACAAAAAGGTAACAGAATAACAACATTAACCATTTATTGGGAGCCAACCATAGTATCAGTAGCTCATCATTCATTTTCTACAACCTTGCAAGGAATGAAGTCTCCTTGGAGGTTGCTTTCAGCTGTATTGTGTTCATTACTCTATATATTTAGTATGAAATTTATCAGAGTATGGTATTCAATTTATGGTTCTTAAAAACTGAATTACCTAAAGATGGTTGCTTTGAACACTACATGTATTGTCCCCTCGTCCCATTTGTTTGCATATTTTTTTTTTTTTCTTTTAAGAGATGAGTATTGCTCTGTCACCCAGGCTGGAATGTATTGGTGTGATCATAGCTCACTGCAGCCTTGAACTCCTGTGCTCGAGTGATCCTTCTACTTCAGCTTCACATGTAGTTGGGGCTACAGGCATGTGCCACTACTCCTGGCTAATTAATTGTGTGTGTGTGTGTGTGTGTGTGTGTGTGCGTGTAGTCTTATTTTGTCACCCAGGCTGGTTTTGAACTTCTGGCTTCGAGCAATCCTTCCACCTCAGCCTCCCAAAGTGCCGGATTATAGGTGTGAGCCACCTCACCTAGCCTAGAGTGATTCTTTTAATAAATATTTACCATTTATTGTCCTGCATCTATGCTGTTCTCAAGGTTACAGATGTGCACAAAGTATGGTCCCTGCTTTCATGTTTGGGGATTAAATTAAATGTTAATATATTTAAAGCTCCATGGCTGACATGTAGAAGTTTTAAATACATTTTAGCTATTGTGCTTAGTGTTACCATTATGATATAACTAGCAACAATGATAAAATGAGGGGGTAGGTGTTCTTTAGTAAATATAGATCCTACTTCTGTTTTTCTTTGCTAATTTAACTATTGAAGCTCTCAAAAATTTCCGTCACTTCTAATGACAATGAAAAAGTGGGTTAATGTCCTATAATTTATGATGAGTGCATTTGGGCTGTGACCCTTGAAGTATGGGGATGTCAACAATTTTCAAAGAAGCCCTTTATGAATTTTAAGAGCAAAGATCTTGTCTTGTCTCTGTTGCTTTTTACTTACCAAACCGCATAATGTTAACATGAGTGAAATGGAAGTAATTTGCAAAGTCCAGCTTAACGAAACACATATAGGAACAAAGGTTCCTCATAGGTAAAACAAATAGCCATAACCTCTAATTGTGTGCAGCACTGTTGGCATGTATCATAAAGGCCAGTGGCAGTGTGGCAAAGTTCCACTTAAGCTGCTCATGTGTGCAGCTGCCCAGGACAAAGACATAGTCTGCCATAGCTTTTTATTTGCCCTTAACCAATTGACAGTAAATAAGACCAACTCTAACCAGATTTGAGTAGTTTGTAAACTTATTGTGTCCCTAGTTTCTCCTTTTCATACTTTTACTGTCCTTAATGACTCTCTACACATAACTAGTTGTTGAATATATGAATGAATGAAGTTGAATGAACC